TCATAGGCTCTTGTTTAAATATCCCATTCACAATGAGTAGTTTAAGATGAAAAAATTTGCCTCTTCCACTATGTAAAATACAAAATAATGATTTAATATCCGGAATCAATCAGAGAAAAAGTGTCTATCGCACAACAGCCAACGGGGAAATAAAATTGTGCAAATAATTTTGAGTGTCACGGCCATCAAACAAATTTATAAATGAAGAGTTCTAGGCCTGTTTACAAATGGGGCCTTAAATTCAACGCCGTTAATATGAACTTAACTAATCAGAAGTGGTTTGATCTCGTTTTGGCAACTTGATTGTACCAAGTCCACGGTCCGACGCTGGAAATTACCATGACTGATGCTAATACAGGTCACACCATCTTGGTCTTCATAGCTGATCAGCATTCACGCTTTTGTAGACAAAAGCTCTCTACAGGGATACCATCAAGCCATCAGTGGTGACTAATTCCATTCAAAATATTCAAGAATTTGCTGACTTTAGTCATTAAGTCATTGAAAATCGAAATCTAGCCTCTAAATAAGATACTCTATGTCTAGGCAAGGTTTTGTCAGACTAAATGGTGCTTAAAGTGCCTTTCCGATTTTGTCTAGTTCAGATATCGGGAATTTGGATAAAGATACAAGACCTTACATTAAAAAGTGAGTGCAAAGAAATATTTTACTTATATATTTATATACATATTAGGAAACTCTAAAAAAGCTAGTAGTCCAACTAGCCTATTTACAAATATAATTAAGAAGCGATGGTTGGGAAAGACAATTTCAATTAGCAACTAAAATGGGCTGAAGTAGTAAGCTGTAATCTAAATATGATTCTTGCAAAAGACAATGTAGTCTTATTTTGCATTAAATCTTTGTTTAATTCAGCTAAAAGATGATTACTTGTGACATGATTGATATTCCATCAAAATAAACTTCGAATAAATGTAACTATGATTCGGATGGTATTATATATGTATATATATATAGGCCTCAATAGGGCCCAGGATAAGTCTCATACTAACCTGATCAAAGAAAGCCTCACTAATACTCATTACGTGGCCTCCACCCTCTAAGTCAGGAAAGGGTAGAGAGTAATAAAGTGCATTAGAGTCACTCGTCTTTCCATTCACAGTCGTAGCTCTTTCTAAGATAGGTTGACTGCTTTCTGACTCCGTTGGCACGTCAAATGTGACTTGGTCCCGAGCCAGCTTTTTGTCAATAGTCCTCAAACGAATATTGTTATCGCTGTCGAGAACGCCACTACTACCGAAGCCATCTGCCGGTTGTGTTGTGAAAAGTTCGTAGAACCGACCAACGGTCGCTGAGAGATCACTGGTGCGATTGATGGCAAAGAAGTGACCACGACGAACATGAGAGTCTTGATGAGCAGTGTGAGATGATAAGAGACCTTTCCATCTAAAAAGGAGGATGAAATGAGATAAAACCCAAATATAGGGCTAAATTACGTGGACAGGAGCTAACTACTCATTTTTTTATAAAGATTTTGGATAATTGACCGCATTTTTTCTTCTCTCACGTCTTTCATTTAGTCAATCCCATTCATGGGCGTCGGATATGCAAATCAGAGTGTGCGACACGTTCGATTCACATATGAAGACTTAAAATTGCCTAGTTGGGAGGTTCATTCAATCCCGGATCAGCATAGCAGTTAAAGCTCGTGTCAAATGGCAGTTGAAGGCCTTAAATACCCCACAAGTAATACCAACATTTGCATTACCTGAAATCCTATAAGAAGGT